GGTATTGTGCAGCTAGGCTCTTGAGTTCTGACAGCTTGCTTAGCTTGGTTCGGGTAGAAGGATTCAGTCCTGGCAGTTTAGCTTGTGCAATGGAATTGGGGGAGAGTTCTTGATAAGTTTTACCGTGGTTTAGAGACGTATAAATTGCCTATGGGCATGCGAAGCATGGAATGTGTAATGATTTCTCTTCTCGATGGGATTGATGGAGAGTTCTTGACTAGTGGAGTACGTAGATGTTTGTGGTTAGGAAGGGAGATGAAGTTCTCATGTTATACTAGTGTGGTATGGTATATGCGATATGTGGTGGAGGATTGGGATTTGTGTGTGTAAGGTTACGGTTCTGTTCATAATGGAAAGTCATTTAATTCTTAAGCAGCACGGGCAGCTGCAGGTGATTAAAGAATCGATCTTCAAATGATTAAGGAAAATGGTATTGCCAACCATAGTGATTCGACGGGGGTATATGTTCTAGTAAAAGGGCAATGTGATGTAAACTGATAATACTTCGGTAGTGTTGCGACATTTGGGATCGACTGTTGATATCTGAGGTTGTTTGATGGCACAGGGAAACTTTAGAATACTTTCGTGGGATGATTGGGTACTTGAGGTGTGATATGTATTTGTACGGCGCAATTTGGGATCAGGTATAGTGATTTGTGTGCTATACGGAGTTGGAGACTAGGAGTTCTCGTGTTCAGGCTATGCAGTTGTTGTAAATCGTGTGTATCGACACCGTCTAGCGGTTATTGGGAATTAGAGGTCCGAGTGGATCTTTCTTTGCTTGGTATGCCAAATTTTGGATATGATATTGGATTGTAGACTGGTTGTCTTAGTGTTGGCTTATTCTAGACTATTGTGCTACGGGCTATGCCAGAAATGCCACGGGTCGATTGGCGAGGTGCATTGGATTATGTTCTTGCAGAGTGGTATATATTTCAAAAGATGCAGCAGACGGCTGAGAAGGATTGCTTTTCTTAATAGGGCCTTCGTGATGGATGTCAGTGCAGAGGTTTCTACTATTGATTCAGTTCCGGTATTGAGTGACTTTTTCGGATGCGTTTCTTGTGGCCGGGCATGTCGCCGGTCGAGATTGGGGATTCGGTATTGATTTGGTGCCGGGCACTGTATCGTAAGGCTCCGGCAGGAGTTATAGTAGTGGAAGGAGCAACTTCAGGCTTCTTGGTGATGAGTTCGTGGGCACGCCGATGTGGCTATGTTTTTGGCTTGAGTTAGCTTGGTTGGCCCCGAATTATGTTGATGAGGGGTAGGTTGATTCGATCGTTATTGAGCTTGCTAGTGATCTAAGGAGAGCTATGAGTTGCTTTTCGGTGTGTTGAGACGTCATGATTTGTTGGATATGGGCATATGTGGTGCGGTTCTATTGAGGATTCATAGAGAAAGTCGAGCGGGAAGAGTAATTGAGTGTTGCTCGGTAAATGGAGTGTTGGCTATGACCTATCGGGTTGCGTGTCGTATGTTATCTGTTTCACTGTGGGTGTAATGAATTGCTTGGGTTTCAGACATCAAATTGTGCGTGGCTGTCTATTTCGAGCATAGTGACTTGAGGTGTTTCATGTGTAGCAGTGGTTGGACAGGATCGCGCATTGTAGCGAGGCTACGTGGAGATATGACCTTTTGGGGTAGATTCAGGTACTCTATTTCTATGATGTGAGACGGGGTCTCAGCCTTGTGTTGTAATGGTGTTGATGGGCTTGAGGTACAGCTCTTTCGTTTGAGTCATTTGTCCTGATTTGGGTATGTTCAGACCGTTCCTCATTGGTGCGTGTATTATGCAAGTTGCGGCTTAGGCCTGCATTGAGGTGTCATGTCACCAGAGTGGTGTGTTGGATTCGAGGTGATTGTTGGAGTCATTAATGAACACGGACAGATTTGATTTCAGCTTGTTAGAAGGATAATATCGAGGTTCAGCCCGGAAATCTGTTGTGGTATTAGTCAAAGGGGAAACGGCTTCATGGATGGTTGATATGAGAAATGGTTACGATTTATAGCATGTTTCATTTATCGTTGGCAGTATATGAAAGTGTTGGAATAAGACCTTAGTTGATAAGAGGTTTTCTACCGGTATTTGGTTGTTGTGGGCGACTGCTGTGAATAGAGGCTACCGTTTCGAGTGTTTGGATTATGTGGTATATCATATGATTTCACCTGAGATTGCAGGTATTGGTTACTACAGTTGGTTCGGGCTTATTCTGAGTATAGGTGTGAGGTTCTGATCTTGTGTATGATTTCGGAAAGTGCAATGTGGTTCTACGGTTTATGGTTTAGATGGACTGTGAAATTTCAGCTATATTGTGTTATCGGACCTATGCGAGGTAGGGTGACGAGGGGTCACCCCGGGTATATGTTTGGTAAGGTCATTCAGCTATTGGGTTGCTTCTAGTACAACTCTGGGTACGCTCGAGGACGAGCGTTGGTTTAAGTTGGGGAGGATGTGACGATCCGACCCGTCGTCTCATGTGTTACTGCTTTGTTTCTCCCATTTTATGCTTTTTCATGTTTCGTTATCGGTATGTGGTGTGCTAGAGTTGATTTGGATTGGTTTTGATAAGAAATGAGACACTTAGTCTCTTTAAGTAAGGCTTAAGTTGGAAAAGTCAACCGGACATTGACTTATGAGTTATAGGGCTCGGATGTGATTCCCGGCGATTCGGTTAGCTTCGGGAGGTGATATATGACTTAGGAGTGTGATCGGAATTTATTTTGGAGGTCCGGTGTAGAATTAGGCTTGAATTGACGAAGTTAGTATTTTGGCGAATTCCGGTTGATAGGTGAGATTTTGATCCGGGGGTCAGAATGGAATTCCGAGAGTTGCAGTAGCTTCGTTAGGTGATTTTGGATATGTGTGCAAAATTTCAGATGATTCGGAGGTGATTTGGTTGGGTTTTTGATCAAATGTGAGTTTCGGAAGTTTTTAAAGAACTTAGGCTTGAATCCGATGAGAATTGATGATTCTAGTGTTGTTTGATGTGTTTTGATGATTGAACCAGTTTGGATGATGTTTTAAGGCATGTTGGTGCTTTTGGTTGAGGTCCCGGGGGACCTCGGGGTGATTTCGGATGGCTATCGGGATGAAATTCAAGTTGAGGAAATGGCAGATTTTGCTGGTATCTGGTATGTTCGCTTCTGCGGAAATGGACCGCATAAGCGGTTACGCAGAAGCGTAATCTTGGTCGCAAAAGCGGTCTGGAGTGGAGTTGGACAGTTCCGCAGAAGCGGAACACTTTTCGCTTAAGCGAGTCCGCAGAAACGGACAGGCCGTCGCAGAAGCGGGTTTGGCCAGGAGGTGAGCTTCCGCAAAAGCGGAAATTTGTGTCGCAGAAGCAGCCCTTGAGTTTTAATGAAATTCCGCATAAGCGGACAGAAACCGCAGAAGCGGTTGCGCGGAAGCGGGCGTGGGGACCGCAGAAGCGGAAACCCCTGAAGCCAGTAGGAGTTTTATATTCATTTTGTTCCGCGATGGTTATGTTATTTCCACCATTTTTAAGCGACTTGGAGAGCTTTGGGCGAGAATTTCGAGGGTTTTGACTGAGAGTCGATTGGAGGTAAGTTCCTTGGCTTAATTACTCGAGTTTATGGTAAATTTATCATAGAAATCAGTGGAAATTCATCAAAATGGGGTAAGTTAGGGCTTGAGAAATTATGATGTACAAATGGAATTTGGAGGGTCAAACGAACTCCGATTTTGGTAAATTTTATATGTACGGACTCGTGGAGAGACGAGGAATCCGGTGATGTGAATTTCGTAATTTTTTCGAGAAGCGGGCCCGGGGCTCGGGTTTTGCTAGTTTCGAGATTCCTGTTAATTTTTGGTTGTTTTCGATTGGGTATGGTTCTCTTAGCATATTGTGATGTATTCGCTCTGATTTTGGTTAGATTCAACGCGCGTGTAGGCCGATTCGAGGGGCAAGGGCGTCGCGAGCTAGAGATTTCACCGGTTCGAGGTGAGTAATACTTGTAAATGATATCCTGAGGGTTTCAAACCCCGGATTCGCAGTGCTGTATTGTGGTGACTTGCACGCCAGGTATGAGCATGGGGTAGAGCACCGTTGGGGATTGTGACTTGGTCCGTCCCGGTTGTTGATTTTACTGCGTAATTGACTGAAACCTACTTGATGCTATCGTGATTTGGGTTGATTGCCATGTTTTGGGCTTTGTGCCGATTAGTTGAATCCTTTAGGGATTATTATCACTGTTTTCATGACACTTAGCATATTAAATGATTTCAGTCCTGAGTTAAACCCTGTTTTGAAATGTGCAGTCATATTGCTAAAGTTTAAAGACTTAAATTGCATTTTTCTGATGTTTTGAGTTAAAAGCTATTACTTGACATTGTCCGAGTGGCTCATTTGCATGTTCTGGACTGAGGATGGAT